AAGCCAGCAGTCGCATTCGTGGATTTTGCAGCGCCAGAAAAAATTTCAGAGGACGAAGAATCCGGAAAAGCGGGAGGACAAAGTAAAACCCCAGCTGCCAATGGTTCACTGAAAACCGACAAGCACAAAGAAAATCACACCAGCACTGTACGCTTCACGTTGCCAGGCGATGTTTCGGATGGGGATGCTGATGACTGTGAGCAGCAACAGCAGGAATCCGCAGAGGGTACGAGGCTTCCAGAAACAGAGGAGAAGGCAGAACCCTTGAATCCGAATGCTTCTCCCAACGAAACGCCGGATTCCTCAGAGGTTTCTGTTCTAAGCTCCGAAGATGCTGCTAGAACAAGCGCTGATAACGAACCCACTGATGGCAGGATTAGTATCAGTCGAAATTTACGGTCGGATTCTGCTATTTTTGATGCAACGACAGATGAGCATATTCCAGTTCGTCGGAAATATGGTAGCATATCATTTTGAAATAAAAGCTAGTGTTCGAAAAACGCCAACATGATGATGACACTTGCACATCTACGATTCTGGATAAATCCGTATGTGTCTTGACAATACTTCAAATTTTGAAAAATACTTCAAATTTTGCCCACAAAAGCATAAATGAAATTTCTGTAATCAATTGCATCGCGAGGCAAAAAAAAAAAAAAAGGAGCAACGCAAAACATTCTCTCGCCCAAACACATTCTCTTTCGTTTATCTGATTGCTCGCAATACCGGAATAAATCATTTATGCAACAAAAACCTATTAATGCAAGGCGTACTGAAAACTGATTCAATCGATCTCAGAAAATACTAGTATCGAGGCAAAGATCCCAAGAAATTGAAATTTTATTGGTATGGAATAGCCTAACCTAGCTTTCCTCGCGGTTAATACAGGATCTAGCGGTGAAAATAGAAAGCTAGCAAACAGTTTCTGCCCTTTTACCGGGGGAATGCTTGTTATAATTTTTCCTGTAAAATATAGGTTTTAGTCTTTAGTATTTTCAGTATACTTTCTTGCTAGCTTGTACTTGCTATTTAAATGTCTTATTTAGTTAAGTAGAACCAATCAAGATATTTAAACCTCGAATCCCAATGAGTAAATTTTCATCTAATATTAAATAAATATTGAGCTTCCAATCATTCAAGATGACAGCCAATGCGGTAATACTAGATAAGAGAGCCATGAAATCAAAAAAAAAGAAAAATCAACCTTAAATTTTCCATGCATCGCCTCAATGAATACGGCCTGATGAAGAGCAAGAAAGCTAATATAATACAGGATTCACTAGGTGAACAATGCCGATTCAAATCCGTCCACGCTTAAAAGCAGCTTAGTGGATACTGCAGAAGTTTGCCAGATGGATGACTTGGGTTTCTTTGACCACTGGTCTTTCTACAGCCACTGGTCATTCTTTAATCCCCAAGTGCACATTGTATTCAAACAATGAAACAATTTTATTTAATAATGGCTTGAATATTATAACCTAACATGAACTAACTTTTCAACAGTTAACTGACAAAAGCGAGAAAACTGATTAACAGTTGATAATCAAGTACAAATCACTGGGACAATCACTTCACCCATTGATTTTTTACCTTTCCAGAAGGCCTGTGCATCCTTTTCAGTTGCTGGTGCTTCCAGAAATTCGATTACCAACTTATCTTTTCCTGCTGGCCCCTCTTTTCGTGTAACAACCAGGGGTTCCTGCTTGCCCGGCTCCAGAAATGTGTAAACCGGCTTAAGAATGTAATCCTTAATATTCGACGATTTAATTTTGATGGCGAATCGCTTCTGGGTTGTATTATGTATCTGGTGGGTGGAAACACCACCACTAGCTTTCACCTCAACTGTATGCGGATCAACGAGCAGAGGCACCTCCATTCCTCGTAGCTGTGTTTTTCAAGATTCTTTCCGAATAATGAATATTGCTTTTTCCTCTTCTGTTTTTTCTTTGAGTTCGAACAGCTTCTAGAAAAAAACACTGACAAAAATAAAAATTAAAATTCTGGCACAAAAAATCCAATTTCAGAGAAATATCCCAAAGCTTGTTTGGACATGCAGGCTGTCATTATACAGTCACATATCTACAAGTGTGTCTGGAACATGGTTTTAACACGACTTTTTCACATGCATTAATTTTAATTGTCCCTCTTTCACCCTCATTTCGCTCACGTTTCAAGTTTCATTAACAATCAGCAATTGGATTTAGTGGCTTTTCTTTTACATATAACCCACTTTCAGAATTAAGACGGTTGCCGAAACGCCATTTCTAGAAAACCTGTGGCGGCACCAAATCTAAAGCTGCTTACAGCTGTAAACCTCCGCCGCAACAAACGTACGTTCCCGCTTTCGTACGAATCTAGAAATGAGCTGAAATTTCTTTGGAATTTCAGTTTTATATATTCTATCATTAATACGTTTGCACTGTATATTTACATATTTGTGCTTATCTTGTTCATCTGCTCGCTTTACTTCCACTTAATAAGTGTTTATAAGCACATTTAATATTCAAGTTACTCATTATGCGTTTTTGCCTATATGCAAATTGCAAAAACGCATATTGAGACGACCCCGTCTGTGT